CACAAAGTTTACATTTTCTGTCACAGTAGGCAATTTTTTTATATCGGCCAATTTCTACTGGTAATCTGTGCGCTGAAACTCGTAATCTTGTAACTGCTTGACGGTACTTAAAATTTTTAATTTCTAAAAGGTATTTTTCAATACCCACCACTATCACCATTTTGAAGAACCTGGTCTTTCCAAAATGAGGTAAATTCGTTATTTAATGTAACATTTAAATAATGGCAAGATTTAATCAAGATGATAATATAACTTGTTCCAGACTTGTCAAAATCTGAGAACCTGAGCAGTGCATACCTTGTTGACAAGCTGCAAGATTTTTACGTGTGTAAGCAAAGCAAGTTTTTGAGACTAATTTTCAGTTTTATTTCAAAGTCATGATCATCAAACAGTTTCCATTATTTCTTTAAATTGCCGCCTGATCGTGGTTAATAGAATCGTAAATTAAATTGCATACCTGCCTCAATTCAAGCTATTGTTTCGTATGCACTCGAACAAATTCGGGAAGTGAATATCCAAAGTCCTAGTGCCACGAATATAGTTTAAAATCGGTAAACGTTAATTTCTAGTTAAGTTTGTTACAATACAAATCCAAATAACTGTAAATGGGAAATTGGACCTGGAATTAGGAGTGTGGTGTTGTGTGTTATAACCCTCATTACTTGATTACGATTTAGTTAATTCCAGGTTTATTATTTAGCTATTCAGGTAATATGGAAGTAGTCTGTTCAGGATAAAATACAACAGTAGCGTAGGAACCGGAGGGAGGAGCCAACTTCCCCCAAGTTTTCAGCAGACACAAAAAGTGCCCCCTCTAGCTCTCCGGTGGCAAAATGCCCTTTGTCTTCGTGAAAAATGTTCTTCAGAAAATAACCTGCAATTCTTGACAAAAGTGTCCGTCAATAAATAAATGTCCATGAAACAAATAAATTTAACTTTCGGTCGATGTTTTATAAAAAAAGTGCTCAAAAACGTTGATTGTACGTTGCAATTCGAAATTTGGGTAAATGTATTATATTAAGCGTGTGATATGAGTACAAAATGATTTTCTTCCCCTATCCGAGGGCCCTCGGTGCCCTTTTCACTATCCAAAGCGCCCCTCGAAGCCGGTGCCCCCCCCCCAACCTTTTGATGCTTCCTCACGCCCCTGAAGTACAATCGTATTCTTCATCGTCGTCAAAGTTCACAAACAGAGTAGAGAATCAAAATTTCATTCCAAAGATATCAGCATAGTCCATGGTTTAAGATTTTAATTACTATATATGATAAATTAAATAATTTTCCCTAGAAACAGTTTATATGAAGCTGTAAACTAACACTTACCTAGATTTCTTTGATTCCAAATAGCGAATAAATCAATGAAGTACAAGTATTCTTCCAGTTACTGTTTGTTCATACTATTATGCAAATAATGAATATGTTTATGAGTGCAATAGTAAAAATATTTTCATATTCATCATATTCTAGATTTCCTACATTTTTCAACGAAGGCAATACTATGGTGTCGGGTGCAATTCGGAAAATATTGTACATGTACGAGTAAGTTTTGCAAAGACAAAATTCGAAGTTCGAAGAAAGAGTGCAATTCGAAGTCTTTGAAAACCTCACGAGGGTATATTTTTCCAAACAGGACGAGAAACGATACTGTTACTCATTGAATGCATTGAATGAAATACATGACAAAACAACACACTTCGATAACACCTTCGTATTCACTTGCGCCTTTGAAGCATTGTTTTGATTGCCTGTTAGCAAACTTTTTCAGTCTATGTCCTCCTTGTATGTACAAAAAGTCGTCAAAAACTAACATTTGCCGCCATGTTGATTTTTCCTGCCCCATTTCCAGGCTCTGCACTTGTTTTATTAATTTGCACTCGGTAGAAATTGCACTGAGGGTGTTTGTCACCTCATTAATATGCAGAAACGCGAAATAGGCGTACTAAGAGGCCTAGGGACTAGGCTGGAGGTAAGAGCGAAGATTGAGAAACTGGGTACGAGGTTGCACAAACAATCGCTATGGTCAAAGACTATGCCTAGGAACGTGGCATATACATATGAGTAATCATGCCTTGAATAGGGATGACGGCGCCTATTTGCCAGAGGAATACATGCATCTCATTGGCAGGTGACGTCATCCTTGGATATTTAAGAAGCCACGATTGCAACTTTAGATCACCCCTGATGAAGACACTAGACTGGAGTGTCGAAACGTTGAGTCTTGATTACAATTCGGCTGGGCTTTGTAATCATTTACTTAAACCACAATAGCGAGCGAAACATGATTGATATACCTGGTTGCAGTGAACATACAAACTTTAAACGACTGATTTACTTCAATACTTCAAACTTATCCATCCTATCACAACGCAAAAAGTCCCTCAGTCTGTATATTTTATTAGACAACTGGAGGTACATTAATTAAGATCGTTAATGGGATGAACACATTGAAATGAAACTGGAACGCTACCTTCAGATAAACTGCCTATATCTTTTTCTTGAAGGCAAATCTGACTTCCAGAGGCGCGTGTTTATATTATGAGTGACTGCTCTTTGCATGCGTGAAAAGACTGGGACTGGCCTTCAAATTTGGCTTCAAATTTCTCGTTGGAGGTAGCGTTCCAGTTATATTCATCTCAATGGATGGACGAGATCTCGAGGGAAGTTTTCAAGATGGCGGCTTGTTAATTTAGCCTATCGTTAAAACATGAAAAATTCAACAACCATACACTATACCCTACATGCTGACATGCATCAACACTAGTGTGAACTTTTGAGTCTTAATTTTGAAAGTACCATCTTGAAAATTGTCTCTCGTCCATTCCTTGTATTTATTACCAGTCGCATTAGCGATGAAAGGTCTCTTTACCATCTTACATACAAATTCCCATCCAGCAAGGATAATCCTTTAAGTATATCTATGAATTAACGGGTGGGTGGACGTATAATGCCCCATTCAGACGAGCAAGATTTCATGACAAGTTTACATGTTCGCCTTTCAACGATCTGTCACTAGCACATGAATTTGTAATATATAGACTGATTGAAAAAAGTTTTTGCTATTCTTTTTTATCCCGAATTTAATTTCGACCAATTAAGAAAATCAATGCCATACCTTACTGACTTAAAGACTATATATCAGTTCTACAAATATAAATATAATACCATGTATTCTCTTTGAGAAGTTAAATCTTTAAAATATTGAAGTTTGTCAGTGCTAGATTTCGCAAAGAAGACTCACTAGCTTGGCTATATGATTTCGCTTGCATGGATCAGTTGTTTTCAATCTTTAGCTCTTACACCTTGCGTTAAATAGCAATCCATCTTGAAAAATTGCTTATTAGCCTGGTAATGCAAAATTGTGGTGGCTATAGTTTTTGAATCGGTCAATTACTTTCCAGAAACTTAATGTATTCTATGTGCCAGAACAAACTCTTCATTTCTTAATAAATTCTTTAAACAGAATAAAAATATAAGCATTAAAGTCTAGTTCGATGAACATTTCCATATTCCTGTAAATTTTTTCGCAAATTTCTTGAATCCAGCGCGAAAAGTTCGATCGACTAAACCATAGATGAAGGGATTGAGGGTACAACTACCAAAATATGAACACATGACAAACCAAGCGTAAATTTTGTACTTCTCTTGTGTCGGTTTTCCGCCAAAATCGAGGAGTAGACTCATAATTTGCATAGGAAGCATAAATACGGCGAAAACAACGACGACAAGGAGAATCATCTTAAGCGCGCGGTTATTTCGTTGATCACGTCGAGATGGTGTGCTTGAAATGGTTGAGCTCCGATCACGACGGCGAACAGCATTAGCGCGTCTCATTGGCAACCTATTCGATAAACTTCGCTTTATTGTGGCGCGAGTTGTTTCAGGTGTTGCAGGATTCTTTGAAGAATCTTCGGTTCCAGTTCTAGACCCTTCATCGGACGAATTGTTAATTAAATGCTTTTGATCAGAGATTTCGCTCTTGTGGCAAGACCCGAAACATCGTTTCTTGTCGTCAATTCGAGGGACATTAAATTTCTTATCTGCTGTGGAGTGGTTTGCATTTACATCATTGTCTGTGTCAAGGATGCTGCTCGCTCTCCCATTGTTTTCTAATATCACCGACATACCTCGCTCTTTAGCATTGTTCACGGGACGACATGGCATTGTTGTCTCGGAGTATTCCGTCACACTGATACCGTCATGCATTTGAGACTGAGATGGTAATCCAACAAGCGATTTCAATGGTGTGGTGCTTTTTCTTTCAAATTTTCTTTTAAACGCAGATTTATTACGAAGGAGGGAGATGGCAACACCAATATACGCAAAGGCCATTATAGTAAGCGGTAATGCATACTGCATTAGAAATAGAAAGACTGTGTAGGCTTTGCGATACCAAATTTCTGGCCAGGAATCGTAGCAATATCCGTCTGTTATCGTCGAGAAGAAGGCAAAAGGCATGACGCAACACAGGGATATAA